ATATATATATATATATATATATATATATATATATATATATATATATATTACACACTCAAGCCAGACCGAGTTACGTGAGGAGAATGCTCGTGCAGTAAGATAAAATAACGAAACACTCAGCGAATGCATATTTCGTTAACCAAGGTGTGCGTTATAAGCCGTAATCCCGTAATCCCGATAAGCCGGCCGGCCGGCGTAGATTTTCACGCGGACGTTGATACAAAGGTTCGCAAAGGGCGGATTTTGTTGGGGCAAATTTTCAGTCAGTAACGTCACTACCGCGACGTACACCGCCACCCGTGCCCGACGGCGCAAGTGAGCCAGCACGACCGCGTTTACAATGCCTCATAAATATGGACTAGACAACCGAAAGTTCAAAGCTTTATCGGATTTTGGGTTAAAAGCGAACGTTCAGAGCTACAGAAACTAGCACTAGCCGCTAGCGCGTGTATATCTTCGGCGATTGGATTTCGTGAGGCATTAATCAGCTTATTAGCTTGGGCGCGTAGGGTAATCGATTAAGGGTCGATCTGCGCGCGCGTTTGCGGGCTAAGACGTTCAATCTTGCAGCTTATGAACTTGGCGAGCTATGGTGATCGTTAATGCAACTTACATGCGTCGCGGTGAGGCAAAAAGTTCCAAGGTGACGCACACTCGCGGCCAGCTGATTTATACGTACATGAATTATTCATGACTAATCGCTAAATTTCATTCCGCAACTTCCGCGAATTATCGATAATAAAGAGCGAGTTGACGTGCACTTGAAATGAAATCCCGGTGAAGTGGGCTCGAAGTAACTTTTCCGAAGGAGTTACGAGTGCGTTTGGCTGTCTTAACTGAATAGAAGAAATTCTACGGTGCACTTACAGCCTTTGTACTATTCGCAGTTATTCACGTATTAAAGCGGATATCTTGCTTCTGAGGATTTCTGAGAATATTTCGTCTGTGAGTAATGCAGAACTCGTACAGAGAATTTGTTTCGGACATATGCGGTATTCTCCTCGCTGTAATATTATAAAATGCGAAATCTGCAGTTCCATACTGTATCGCAATAATTATCGCGAATATTCCATTGCAAATTTCACTAATTTTATCTTTTATTTATAATTCATCTCGCCCGACAGTTCATTTGTTAAAACGCTGAAATTTAAATGCCTTTCATGCCTTTTTAATTAACGAAATACGAATCACTTCGAGTGCTGGATAAAGCGTAACGCTAAACGCGAAAGATCTCGACGAGTCTCGAGCACCTTGACACAGTGACACAAATGTAAGTAGTGATAGCAGCATAGCTTTTGGCTGATCCACTTTCTCTAGCCATCGACGTTAAATCTTCGCTCCACAATCACGCATGCATACATTTTGTCGCTATTTTAAATTAACTCGAAAACGACGATAACACTTTGTGCACTGAGAGAGAAAATATCTAAAGAATAACAAATATTTTATAACAGATTTACTTCAATACTATTCTACATAACAGAATAATAGATTTACTTCAATACTATTTTAATTCTAATTATTATTATAATAACATTATTATTCTAATAATAAATATGTTATTATTCTAATAATATATTTACCCCTGTAATATACAGGGTGGGCTCTATATATGTAAATGTATACACTCAAATAAATCTTCAGAATACGATTTTCGGAAAAAGTGACCTGAACAAAAGTTGCTCGGGCCTAAAAGAACTATCTGCTGGTGACTTTGGATTTAACCTTGGCCCCAACCTTCAAGGTTATTTGGAGGTCAACTTTGCTTATTTAAATAGAAACATATATTTTTTTATTACGGAATTGTATTCTATGTAAAGAAACAAACAACTTTGGTTTAAAAAATTTTTTTATACGACCTCTTTTCTAAGATATTTACGGAAATATCTATAAAATTATTAGTTTCAATAATTTTTTACTCGAATTCTATCAACTTTACCGAAAAATAACAAGAGATAAAAATTGTTTATTTTCTTCTTATAGAGCTCTGAGAATTTTTTTAGAGTTTGTTAATTAACTTTTTAGTACAGTATTTTCTTGCATTTTCTTGAAGTATTAAAAAGTTTATAAAAAATTCTGAAAAAATTCTCAGAGCTCTATGAGAAGAAAATAGATCACTTCAGGTCACTTTTTCCGAAAATCCTGTCCTGAAGATTTATTCGGGTGTATCCATACATTTAGCCTATCCTGTATATATTTTCACGTCATAAAAGAAATTTCTTCCAAATGAGAAAATATATATTTTTTTAAACTGTTACTTTTTTTAATAAAAGCATTGATTCTATTTAAACGCAAGAATTTAGACTTAAATAGATATGTTATTATTATTAAGTAAATTTTTTAATCTTTTATAGTTCTTCTCTCGGTACACACGTTAAGGATATGTGAGATCCGCTTTAATCTTGCAGCGTTGTTGATTGAAGTGAAATTGTGGTCGATACCGATGCTATTTCGTGGAGTTTTACGTATGCTTTCGTCGTTGAAACTGATCGAGAGATGCTGAAGTGTTACATCGAAAATTAATCTCCCTGCGATTTATTTTTATTTGCGTAAGAAAGGTGAAAGGGGAACAGCGGTGGAATATGCGTAGTCGACGATCCTCTTTGCTTTCTCTCCTTGATCTGAAAGCTGAAACCTTATGTGCTACTAATTGCTACCATTGTTACGACTAAGAGACAGAGAAACAAAGGGTCAAAGGTAAAAATGCGACCTTATCAACAGCCACTTCGTGTTCTTGCTTACCATTATGCTCGCAAAGTTCACCGATCGATTCCAACCGCGCGCATTTTCATTGTTCAAAATCAACCAAACGCATCTTTCATTTAGAAGGAACGAAAAGTTGATGTAGATGTATCGTAATTATTATTTTATATACTTGTGTGCATCTTGAAGTATTATCGCAGCGTTGATTGTCGACGAATCGCGAGCATCTTCTCTCACGTTAGAAGTTCCACATCGAATGAATGCACAGAAAGAAAATTAGTATCTATTTAAATCTAATATTTAACGATTAGTTAAATTAACAATCATTTTGTATATAAACAACAATATGTAATTCTGCACGGAAAAAACAATTCTGTTGGTGCAACCGAATTTTCGGTTACTCAAGAATCAGACGAAAACGCGGCTGTAAGAACAAAAAATTCCTTTATGAGGCTTCTGTATAGTGTTCTCAATTGTTCTCAGTTGTCTCAAACGAGTTCTAATGTCGTTGAATGTTCAGACGAATATTTTCGGTTGCGACAACAGAAATATTAATTTTCATAACAGAGATATCGCTTTTGATCACCTAATTTTCAGTTGGTTCCTATTTGGTTGCATCAACTGGGATTTTTTTGCGTGTGTTTAAAAGAATATTAAAATCTTGAATTTCATAAATTTCAACAAAATTTATTTAACTATATATAGTCTCATAAGAGATTAGTTTCATAGAATAATTTCACAAGAACCATAATATGATTATTTTGAAGATAATGATATCTTCTGACATTTTGAAACCATATTTTTAATCCAATATCTTGTGCTTCCCATTCGTGAAAATTATTTTCAAATAATAAGAATATATTTTTCTTTGTTGAATTACGTATAAAACGTATTGATACAAGTAACTTATTTTGATTTAACGCTGTGTAATCTCACTTTAAGGTTTACGTATCTAAAGGTTTAAATATCTAAAGATATTTTTAAAACAAGAACCACAAGTAGCATATACACGTTTTAAAAATGTTTTATAAACGTTAGAATTAAACCTTTCATAACCGTTTCCAAAACGTTTCATAACGTTTCTTTAACGTTTTTCATGAGTAAAAATGTCCACTCAAAAAACGTTAGGTGAAACGTTATTTTTGCGAAAAAAAATCGTTGAAAAAATGTTTTATAAACGTTTTAAAACGTTTATAAAACATTTTAAAACGTTTTATAAACAATTCATAAATAAGATTTCAGAGAGGTTCTTGTTAAAACGTTTCTTATTGGTGCTTTACGGTTCTGAAACTATAGATACTTTTAAGAAACGTTTCTGATACGTGTATGTGCTACCTGGAACGTTCTTTTTTCTGTAATAATTAAAGATAAACGTGTTTTAACCGACGTTAGATTTTTCCTCAAACTTGACTGACCATCTTCACACGGATTCATTTGATGTATTTCAGGCTCCGCCGTCTCATAGAATTCGTCGGATTCAACATCCGGAAAGATGGGTTGGGTCCTCCCCGGTCTCGGAGTGGCTTTCATCGTCATCGCTGCCGGCGCCACTATCGCCATTTGCAGAAGGTGATCATGATATTATTTCGCTATTATAGACGCTTTTTCCTCATTATTATTATTACCATTTCATTGGTTCCTTCGATGATATCTTTCTCAATCGATGGGATAAGAATACAATGATACACTTCTCGGAGGCTGATGAACGTTCTAATGCGTGCAACAGGTGAAAGCATCACTCAGCGAGCAATTATTACACCAGTAATTTGCTGCCTGTTCTTGCGCGAGCCCAAGTTTAATCCATTCTTCCCCAGAAAGAATAAATCTGGACTTATCTCGCTCCAGCGCGATATTACGACGGTCACGGGTGAAATTGCGATTCCAAGTAATGCCGACCATTGTTGGGCCAGTATGTAGCACAGTAAATCAATTAATCTGGAAGAACGAGATGATGTAACATAAACTAAATATAACACAGAGGGAGAATAACGTGGAAGAATTATTAAAAAGAAAATATATATAATATGTCACGTGTTAAAAGCACATTCAATCTGATCGTCGAGTCGACGTCAATGGGAGATCGATAAATGAAAAATAATTTATTTCGATAGAAAAGCGCTGCTCGCATTCGTGTATCATTTTATTTCAGGTTTTAATTAATCCAATTAGCACGATAAATTGAGCGATTGTCTCAGCCGTTACAGATTGAACGATTGGTCGAATAAAGCCACGCTTACTTTCGTCGGCTTTGTCCTGCAGCGGCCCTAGTCATTTCATCTGGTCCTTTGTTCCATTGTTGTAGCCGTTATTCCCGCATTGCGTTTCTCCCGAGCGAGTCCCTTGCGCCGTGACTTGCGGTACAGATATAATTAGTGCTTAGCTCCCGTTATCTCGTCAATCCCGCAGATATTGCAGCGGATGGCAGTTTGGCACCAGGAATGTCTGGAGCGTCTGCGAGGAATGGAGACAGAGGCTTTCATGGCTTTGGGCACCGCGGGAAGAAAAGGTGACTCGTGCATCTTCGCGGGCGCGACTTTAACATTTTTTATTCGAATCTTATATGAAGATTTCATAGTAGCCAAGAGCCTTAGGTTCACACAGTCACGCATCAGTACTATTACGTTTATATTGTTGCTCAAAGGTGTAAAAAATTACGATTGCTAATGCATATTAGTTATAATTGTTAATAACATTGTGTCAAAGTGCGACTTTGAGTAAGAGTGTTCAACATTCGATTGGAAACTTTGCGATTCGCTTCTGTAGACTCTGTAGTGCCTACTTTATCCCCCGATTTGTTTCTACGACATTATCATACGACATCATTTGAAGGTGGGATTGGTAAAGGCTCAGCATCCAACCGCCCAGACGATACCAGGCCTATATCGTCAGGCTGGGAATACCTCTCAACATCTCTTGCATAGCGACAGCGACCTCCGGTTAGACGCGCAAGGCGCTTTCACCAGGTATGCGACGAAGCGAATAATTAATAATCCGCACTATATTATAATATTCATATAATGGTCGAAGAGAAGACTACGGGAAAGAACTCGGTGAAAATAAAGCATGAGTAGACGAAATTTCTTTTGAAAAAGACGACGTTTAAACAAGTTCTCGGAGTTCTTCAAAGTTCTGCCTCTCAACTAAAATTAATTCGAAATGTTTTTCCTCCGAGTTAAGTTGATACCAAGTGTTACAATGAAGTTTATTCGCGCGTCGAGAAAACGCTACAATTCGCACCACTATACTATACGGAGAAACATAATTTTGCTCTTTTAACAAAATTGTCGTTGCTACTGCATATTTGTAGTGATATCAAAAAAATTTAGTTGACTTAACTAATTTTATAAATTATTCGTTATCAGAGCAGAAGTCGTTGCCAGGATAGAAAAAATTTC